AGTGCTGGTGCAAAGCCGGTGCCCGAGAGCTTCCACCCACAGCCCAGACAGAGGTAACCGGGTCGTGGAGGTGGCTCCTGCCATAAACCTGACTCCCAAGCCATGGAGACATGGGCTCTGTGGACTTGTGCAACTGCTACACTGCTGGATTGCACTGGGGAGTTGACTTCTGCATTTATGACAGGGAAAAAAAATATCCATCCGTATTGAAAAATGATGGCAAAAAAGCTCATTCAAGTTTCGAGGTGAACCTTCCAGGATGGGTTGAGTTAAGACTCTGTGCTCTCTGTGAGGACTCAAGTAACATTTAGGCAGAGCACAGATGACGTGATGTGTGCCTTGGTATGTGTCTGGAGTGAGAATTGCAATTCTCTGTGCAATTAAGCAGCTGGGATAAGTGTCCCTGCAGACAGAATTTGTTCTTATCTGGTAGTGAGTAGGTTGATGATGGTGTTTCATGCCTGGCAATGCAAACTGGGAGGTGAGGAAGGAGAAACTCAAATGACCGATTCCTCTGAACGCACGCTGAGCTAGAGATGGTGATCGAAGCCCATTGAAGGTTTCCGTACCTTTTGTAATCGGTTATGAATAAACTAGGAGTGCTGTAGAGCCAGGGCAAGTGGTGATGCAGGGCTGGGTAGGAGGAGGGATGGATGGCAACGAGGGAAAGGGTCAGCAAGTGCAAGCCTTGTGCAATGGCCTCCCTGTAGTCCCTGGGACACGTCTGAGCATGGCCCACAGTTCCATATATCAGGTTTGGCTCTCTCAATATATAGCTTAGGGCTGAAGTATAACCAGAGGTTTCAACGGAGGTCCTATGGGAAGTCAAGCAGCGGTAAATCCTTTGGAGCAGTGATGTCAGGGAGTCACATATGCAGCCATCAGAGCCTGAACTTCTTTCTGTGGCTTGAACGCCATGACCTGTGATGTGCTGTCACTCCAGGATTGAGTTCATTTAGCAGTCCTGAAGTTCAGGAGATGTGTCAGAGAAAACCAGGGGAAAATCATACAAACGGAACAGACTCCAACGTGATTTTTCTGAGTTTTTTGCAGGGGAACAGGATAGTGGTCATCGCAGGACAAATTTAGCCACCCTATTCCTTTCAAGCTGATCAACAAAATCCGTATTAAAAATGACCCTAAAATGATGACTTCCACACTTGTAAACTGGGTATTGTGAAGCCAGGGAATGAGAAAAATATTGCACAATTTACGCCACAATATTGTTTGTAACATCTGTTTTTTCCCTCTCTTCCAAAATATGTACTGACACACTTTTTAAATTCCGTCACAGAGTACTTCATTTTTCTGTAGAGACTCAAACATCTTAATATTCAGTAAACCATTTTTATGTACCACTGAGCTGGCTGAAAAACAAGGGGGTTTCTCCCTCTGGATTGAAATAAGGCAGACAGAGGATGTCAGGCTCAGCTGATTAGAAAGTCAGGCTTTTCTTAGTCTTGAAAGATTATTTATCCTTATAGATTTAAAAACTCTTCAGTTGTGAAGAATTTAAAGAACGCTTTATATAAATGATGACATACAACAATATTTTAATTTGTAGGCTATGCAATACATTCACTTTATTATAGCCAAAATTATGACATGAATAGTGATGGTAAAGTAAGTATCTCAGAAAGAAAGCAAGAAAATATAAGAACACCACTAGTGATTTTGGTGATGATAAGCAAGCTTTTCCAATTCAATGAGCTTCATCTAACAACTCATTTGTTTCAGTGACATGCCCAGTTATTTAGACTCATGTGGATACATGGGTGGTTTTCTCATGTTCTAGCTTTTTCTGTGTACACATATATAAATCTAGAAAATTAGCAGCTTTTCCAGAGGCTTTTAAAATGCTGTCCTACTCTGATACTGTCTTTCTTTGATATTATGCTAGTCTGGTTTGTCTCTACAAAGCAGGTACTGCCACAGAAATGTTGAGTTAATTCCAACTTTCATTGCAATGGGAGGGGGCTTAGCAGCACAGCCAAAGCCTCCAATAGACAAATTTAGGTTATCACAGCAAGAGCAGAAGGAGTTCCTGAACCATCACATTTGAAGAAATTTCATTATTGTCCAAAACCAGCAAGCTCTGTGTGAAGTCCAAGCCCACCTTCTGAAAGCCAGGCATTAGCTCATAAAGGAATAGATGGTGTCTCTTAAGGGAAGCACATTGTAGTAGAATTTAAGCAAGTTAAAAAAGAGGAAAATATTACTTAGGGATCAGATCTGATGGCTAAGACAATTAGGTTGATTAAATGTCAAACTCTTAAGAGTTTTCTGTCAAAACACTTCTTTGCCAGGGTAGGAACTTTGACAAGTTGGTGTATACTCCATATTTCCCTCGCCTTCCACACCATTCTCCCCAGATGATACCAGTAACAAAATAAGTGCCATTGTATTTCGTTACATGGAGGCCTCCTCCATCTCCTTGGCAGACATCTTTTCCATCTTTATCTCAACTAGCACAGAACATGTTTTCCGTGACTGGGCTACGAAGGGCGAGCTTGCAAGTGTCCCTGTCCACAAAAAGGTTTTGAAGCACTTTCATTCTTTTGACCCGCCGCGCACGTTCAAACGTGTTTCCAAAGCCACTGACAATTCCAAATGTTTGGTTCATCAGAACGTTGTTAGCCAAGTCTTCTTCTGGAAGGCTTGCTGGGACAACATCCTCAGAAAATGTGATAGGTTCCTCTAATTTGAGAAGGGCTATGTCACTGTCGAAAGTTTCTGTATCAAATTCAGCATGTGCAATTATTTTTTCCACTCTGTGCGTGGCTCTACTTGGCTCTTCCTTTTCTTTGTCCACCATCCCAGTGTCAGATTATTAAAGTAGTTGTTCATAAGACAATACCAACAAGTCTACACTGCATCTCAATAAAAGAAGGGACCAAAGTTCCTTGCACTTTGTATAGGCATTGTACTGTACAAATAAAATAGACCAGGCCTGTATCCTGATGCTGTAGCATTTTATACCCATTTTGGAACGGTTTAGAGGGCTGTCAAAATGCCAAGCAAGTAGAAAATCAGAACTTTGCTATCAGAATAATGCTCTCAATGAAAGCTTTGATATAAAGTTTTGGGCTTCGTTACAATATTCCCAATGGCACTCTCATGATATACAACCAAAAGCCTCAACACAGAAGAGAAGGATCTTGCCCCCCTCAATTGTAGTCAAATAGTCAAACAGACTTAAACAGCAAATAGATATTAATTTTCTTTTGAAACTTTAACGTTCTGCATACAAAAATTTATGAATTTATATATATTTAGTCTTTCTCAATTTGTATGAAGTGACTTTGGGAATTAAATGGACAGACAATTGGAGTTTAGGCAAACACAGTTTTTGCTTTACTGTTGTAGGCTGAGTACAATTTTTATGACTCAGAACACCATTTTTCAGTGCCTAGAACTTCTGATAAACTACTTTTTCATAAATGACAGTAATAAATAATAAATTTGAGGTTTCAAGTATGGAACAGTCTCAGACTAGCATCTACCTGCTGTTAAAGCAGTTATTGCTAACATCCAAATGAGGCGTCTGGAATTCTTCAAGGTTTGGCCAACACAGGAAATTGCATGAAGGTGTAATGTTAGACCAATTTAACTACATCAGCTCAACCTTACTTGCCCACATACCTTTCCAGTTTATACTTGGCTTCTCTCATATACAAGCTACACTAGGCCAAGCCAAGCTTAAAGAAACTGTCCATTCAACAAAGTTGAACATGTATTTCACTGTTAGTCAAGGGACAACATGAGGCAGTGAGAAATAACAAGAGGGTAAGAAGAACTCTGGCAGAGTTCAGTATCTCATATATGGAGTCTGGAACACGAGACAGTTTCTTATTTTTGTAGTAAAGGGCAAAATGAGAAGCACTTACCAACAAGAACCCATAAGTCTGGTTAATGCAATAAGCTCCAGAAAGCAAAATACCCGTTCAGAATTGTTCCCCCACAAAACTATTCATTGTACTCATCTTCTAGTAGAACAGCCTGCAAGGAGAGAAAAGAAAGATAAAGCACAAAAACATACGTACAGAGAAATCCTGAACAGCTAGCTGAGATTCAAGCAGTTTTCTTAAAGTATACATTTTCATACGTATTTTCTGTCAAAGGCATCCTTCATTCAGAGGCGGTGAGAGTTACACTGAGATGTAGCCACCACAGCAGGAAACTTGTCAAGACAGACCTTCTTCCTGGCTCACAGAGGAGTCTGTGTATTCAGTTATTTTACCAACAGTTTTTGGTTCTTATTTTTTTAAACAGAATTTAGCTAATATTGTAATAGCACTGTTCCTGCTTGTTGGTTGTTTTTTTTTTTCCCCCACTTTAGTCTTGGCCACATCAGGAACTCTGGCTATTCTTCTGATACCGCCATGCTGCAACCCAAGTAACGGGGTGGCTGGCAGTGAAGGGGGCCTGTGGCTCACCCAGCTCTACGTCCCTCATCTGCAACCCTACTTCTCTGCTGGCCTCCCCCTCTCAGCATTTGCTTGATGCTGAAATGGAGGCACAACGTCATTCATGGTAGGAGACCTGTGCAGAAACACAGTACTCAGGAGAGTGGAATGACCACCCAAAATGTCGACACTAGGGAAGTGTCTCAAATTAAGCCAGGTCCCCTTGGCAAGTGGGGATGAGTATGATGAACAGTAAATGGCTGCCGGTCCTGGTGAGCAGGGTCAGGTGTTAAACATCTCAGGACAAGGGCACCTTACCTGCCATGGGGACGTGCTGGGTAAACTGCCAGCCTCCCCGGTAACCTCTGGATGGCTGTTTGGGGCCTTGGTGGCTTCCTCATTTTCAGGATGAGCATCTGGACTTGCTGTGGTTCCTGTGACTTTCTCTCAACTGGCTTCATGATTTCTCTGAAGCTTACCACACGGGAACTTGACTGCGAAGGCAAAACCGAAACACTAATACTTGATGTCCGGATGGTACTGGGACTTTGAGGCACGTGTCGC